GTCTTAAATTTCTCCATTTTAAAAAAAAAAAAAAAAAAAAGAAAGCTTTCTCTTCTTCCCTATTCATTCCTTCATTTATATCAATATGGATTCATAGACCTGTTTCATTTGGTGAGTTATAATTCATTGCTGTCACAGGCATACCTTAAATACTGCAGGTTCAGTTATACACCATTGCAATAAGGTGAATATTGTAATAAAGTGAGTCTCGTGAATTTTTTATTGCACCCAGCTGTGGCAGTTTCTTAAAACAATGAAGTTTGCCTCACTGATTGATTCTTTGTTTCACAAAAGATTTTTCTATAGCATGTAATATTGTTTGACAACTTTTTTTTTCTTTTTTGAGATGGAGTTTTCACTCCTGTTGCCCAGGCTGGAGTGCAGTGGTGCAATCTCAGCTCACTGCAACCTCCACCTCCCGGGTTCAAGCAATTCTCCTGCCTCAGCCTCCCAAGTAGCTAGGATTACAGGCATGCGCCACCATACCTGGCTAATTTTTTTGTATTTAGTAGAGACAGGGTTTCACCATGTTGATCAGGCTGGTCTTGAAATCCTGACCTCAGATGATCCACCCGCCTCAGCCCACCAAAGTGCTGGGATTACAGACATGAGCCACCGTGCCCGGCGGACAACATTTTTTAAAATGTCAGACAAGTAATGTGCTGATGTTCTAACAAGGTTCAAAGATGGCACGTCTCACATATGAGCATGAACACCCAATGATCACACTTAGGAACTACAGAAGGATCTGTTTGATAGCATTTCACCCAGAAGAAAGAACTGCTTTCAAAATCGTAGTCACTTCTCTCACACCTGGCACTGTGTTATCAAATAATTTTTGTAATATTTCTAAATCCTTGTCATTTCAACAGTATTCACAGCATCTTCACCAGCAGTAAATTCATCTTAAAAAAAAAAAAAAAAAAAACTACTTTCTTTGCTTATCCATAAGAAGCAACTTCTTATCCATTACATTTTATCATAAGATTGAACCAGTCCAGTCACAGCTTCAGGCTCCACTTCTAATTCTAGTTCTTTGCTCTTTCCACCACATCTGCAGTTACTTCTACCATGGAGGTCCTGAACTTCTCAAAAGTCATTCATGAGGGTTAGAATCAACTTCTTCCAAACTCCTGTTCATGTTGTTAGTTTGGCCTCCTCCCATGAATCACGAATGTTCTTCATGGCATCCAGAATGGTGCATTCTTTCCAGAGATTTTAAATTTACTTTGGGTCCTTCAGAGAACTCACTATCTATGGCATCTATAGTCTTATAAAATGTATTTCTTTTCTTTCTTTCTTTCTTTTTTTTTTTTTTGTGACGGAGTCTTGCTCTGTCACCCAGGTTGCAGTACAATGGCATGATATCAGCTCACTGCAACTTCTGCCTCTTTGGTTCACAGTTCTCCTGTCTCAGCCTCCCGAGCAGCTAGAA